TTGTTGAAGTGTAACATAAAGTTTTTCAATTAAAACTAAACTTACCCATAATAGGTCATAATTGAGTAATAACCAACTAGTGAAAACATGTGCTATGCATAGGATGTGAAAAAATTAATAAAATATATTTATATGAAATAATATAAACTTATTTGAACTCTTCCTCACAAAAAAGACAACCTTCTTTTATGACTTTGAATTTAAGAATAATGAAAATTCTCCCTTCCCCCAAATAAAATAAAAAATTGAAATTTAAAATAAAAAATGTAGAACAATTATTATTCGTATTATAAAAACTTAAGGAATATTAATTCACACTCCGTGATCTACATGAAGTTCTGTAATTCATTGACATGATTGGGATGCGAAAAAATTAATAAAGTATGCTTATATGAAATAATATAAATAGTTAGATTTTTGTGCGTAAATTATGAAAAAATATATATATATATATATATATTGAAACTTATAATTTAAGTTTTTCAATTTTATCACAATTTATGTATCAATTTTTAATTGGTCACAACTTCAATAATGTAACTTTCAACCCCCTTATTAAAGTTGTAAATTTGGACAAGTTGAACCCAAGCAACTCGAGTCAAGATTGTAAAGTTTTAAAGATTGTACAACATAATTTTTTAATTCGGTGAGAACTTATATAAAATTTAAAAATTTAAATAAATTTGAATGGATTTGGACAGAAACACCAAATAACCAGGGTAATAGAAACAAATTGTCGAATAAGTTGATCTTACAAAAATTATATTTTATAATGGCATAAAGTAATTTGAAAATGAATTTTCAAAAAATATTTTTAATTTAAAAAAGAAAATAAAATATTGAAATATCATAAAATTAAATTTCTACAAAATATAAGTATCTATATGAAAAGTAGGAAAAAATTTAGAATGATATACTCATTTGATTTGAAAATAATTATAGATGGCCAATTAATTATCAATTATAATCTTTTTTTAAAAAAAAAAAAATTAAAAATGACATTTCGCAAGCCATCACTTTTATTAGGGAAATAACATTTATTTCTATTTGTTTCAACAAAACTCACTTTTTAGCAATTTGAACCTAAATTTTTTCATTTTTTTTTATTTTAGTTTGTTTAATTGATAACTAAGATTAAAAAAAACAATTAGCATGATCCATCATGTTTCTCAAGTACTAAAAAAGTCAAGATAAAAAAAAAAATAAATAAATAAATAAAAAAAAAAAAAAATTTGAGACCCACAAAAAAACACTCACAATTGTGTTAACTCTTGATTTGTTATACACTCAATGACATGGGACCCAATTCCCTGGTTATACCATTATTTGTGAAAATGTAGGTCTGTAGCATTGATTTAAACGTAATTACCACATCTCTTCCCCCACTTTCCCTCACCATGATATCCTCCACTCCTATTGCTGTCAATTCCTTTTTCAGACTAATATCAGCAAATTGGGCCTTCAATCTTACAATGATACTCTCAAACAACCATCCATTTCTTGCTCCCTCTACCTTTAGTAGGATGTTCCCTATTTCCCCTGTCATTTTTCCTTCCACAGCCTCTGCATAGGATCTCCTATCTCTGATACCATGAGCCCCGACTCTAACCACTCCAACTTGAACGGCATTTGCTACTGGTCTCTGCACTCGATTATTTAATGGTAGCCTTACATCTTTATCAACTACTTTTTCTTTCCCAAAATCTGCGTGGTTAACCTGTAATGGTTGATCGTCCACCCACAGGCCATTTGCCTTATGTACAGCTATTAAGGAGGAGAGGGCATTGAAATTATCAGCTATTAAGGAGCTGATCTCGGATTGGTGTGAAGATATTGCTGAAGGACAATCTGGGCAGGTACTAGAGCAGGAAAGATGTGTACGGATAAGCTGCTATGGAATTCCATTACATCTGTGGAATAGTTCCAATCTCAGAAAGATAGGTGGTTTCTGGAGGCAGGCGCTGTGTTTTGAAGGTGATATGAGCCTACCACTATCCTTTGTGTGTGCTAAGATTAAGGCATCCACTAAATGGATGGATCCCATAAACTCAGTTGTGAAACTGGAATGCAGAGGTATGGTATTTCCAGTAAGAGTCTGCGAAGAACAGGCGATAACTGTGAGAGCTTTGAAATTTACATGTAGATGTCATAAGCATCAAGTTGTAGATGAGCTTGGTAGTTCAAATGTGCTAGGAAAACAAGATGAGGATAGAAATTGTAAGAAGGAAGAAGATGATGCTGCTGACATGGAGAATGAGTCAGCTGCTGACCTGGAGGTTGGCTATGGGATGGACCAAGAAACCAAACCAAGTGGTCGTAGTGTGAGTAAGGAGGTGGAAAACGCGGCATGCTGGAGGCGTGTAGGTGAAGCTCAAAATGTTCGAAGTAATGGGCGGAAAGTATTGAGTGATGAGTCCTGCAAAGAAATGATGGAAGTGCGAAGCCAGAGGATCGGCTCTAAGGAGGAGACGGTGGTCAGTGAGAGTATGGAGAACCAAATGTGTACGCCAGGTTTTGTTAGAAGTCTTGGAGGGTCTAGCCTTGAAAGGACTGGTGTGAATATAGAAGTAGTCTTGCGCCATAATAACATATTAAAGCAGGTGGGTCGGCTATGTCAAGCAAAAATTGGGCTGGGGCAAGTAGAAACTGGGCTGGGGCAGCAGGAGTCATCTGAAAGAATTAACTCTGCTGAAGTAGGGCCTTGTGAGAGACTGTCAAGCCTCTCTGAAGCCCAAGTGAAGGAGCCAAGTAATAGGCATTCAAGATGTAGGAAGGGAAAGGAAAAGGAAAATGAGAAGAGTAACAGTAGGAGAAAATCTAATCAGAACATTTTAGAGAGAAGACCCTTTGAGATGATGAGGAAGTATGGGAGCAGAGGTGCTTCAACTAGTAGAGCCATGCCTAAGGTAGCAGCTTGGCATGTAGCAGTGGCAGCAATGTCTCTATCTGCTTCAATAAAGGGTGGAGTTGACAAAGGGAGGTTTGTACTGAATGAAGCTGAAGCAACTGTAAAAATGGGAGAAATTCTCGGGATGCAGTTTAATGGCAAGAGAGCTGAAGTGGTGAAGGAAATAGTGGATCTTGAATTGAAGGATATGGAGCGTATTGAAGAGTGGAAGAAAGTTAGGGTATAAAGTACACCAGTAGGGGGGTAGATAGGTGTAAACATGGTTAATTATGAAGTTTCTTTCATGGAATGTTAGAGGGTTGGGGAGGAAGAAGAAGAGATGCAAAGTTAGGAAGCTCTTAAAGGAGAGGAATGTAGACATGGTACTGTTCCAAGAGGCAAAAAAGTCAGAGTTTTCAGAGGAAGATGTCAGATCTGTATGGGTTAGAGCCAAAATGGAGTTTATGGTGGTAGATGTTGTAGGCTCGGCAGGAGGTTTATTTTGTATATGGGACCCAGATGTATTCTAAGTGAAGGACTGCTGCAGTAATAGAAGGTTTATTTTATTATCAGGTACTTTATTTCATCAGTTCAGTTGTTCTATTCTAAACATTTATGCACCTAATGATGTGGGCTTAAGAGGGAAGCTGTGGAATTGTTTACTAAAATTGAAGGAGGAGTTTCCTAATCCTTGGTGTTGAGGAGGAGACTTCAATGAGATTAGACAGATTGGGTAAAGGAAAGGGTGCTCACGGAGGGATAGAGGTATGAAAGAATTTATTGAGTTCATTGATAAGTGTGAGGTTTCTGAATTACCTTTACTTGGAAGGAGGTTTACTTGGTGCAATTCATTTGTTGGGGAGAAGTGGAGAAAAATAGATAGAATGTTAGTAGATCCAAAATGGCTTGGGGTGTTCAAGTTAAAGTTATAGGGCTTGCCTCGATTGGTCTCGGATCACTGTCCTCTCCTTGTGATGGAGGTTAAGAGGGACTGGGGCCCAAAGCCTTTTAGGGTTCTAAATGCTTAGTTCTTGCACAAAAACCTTAGGAGTTTCTGGGAGTCTAAATGGGAAGAGGCCATTGTTGTGGGATGGGCTGGGTTTATTCTAGCACAGAAGCTAAAGTTCTTGAAAAATGGTCTTAAAAGTTGGAATGTGGAGGTGTGTGGTAATGTTATAAATAAACTGAAGTTAGTAGAGGGTGAGCTTCATAGCTTTGATCTATTGGCTGAGGTTAGAAACCTTGATGGAGAGGAAAAAGGTAGGAGAAGTAAAGCTAGAGCTGAAATGTAGAGGTTGAGTAGGATGGTGGAGTGGCTATGGCTGCAAAAGTCTAGGCTTAACTGGGCCATGAAAGGGGACAAAAATACAAGATTTTTCCATGTAGTTACAAAGTGTAGAACAATAAGAAATGAGATAAACTCTATTACAGAAGGGGAGGTGGTGTTTGAAGATTCAACTCAAGTGAAGAGTAAAGTGCTTGAATTTTTTAAGTTGTAGTATGCAGAACTCTGGCCGTCAAGACCTGTGCTGGGGGGTCAGTTTCCATCAGTGAAGGCAGGGTGTGTTTCGGATTGTTAGAAGCAGAATTTATGGAATCAGAAATTAAATCTATAGTGATGGATTGCGATGGGAATAAAGCACCAGGTCTGGATGGGTTTAATTTGCTGTGTTTTCAAAAGTTTTGGAAGGTTATGAAGGGCGATGTCATTAATTTTGTGAAAGAATTTCATACGAATGGTAAATTGGTTAAAGGTATAAATAGCTCTTTCATAACCCTTATTCCAAAGAGGGATAATCCATCAGGGCTTTCTGATTACAGACCAATAAGTTTGGTAGGCTCAATGTACAAGATCATAGCAAAACTGTTGGCAAATAGATTGAAATCCATAATGCCACATATTATTAGCGAGCCTCAGTCTGCATTCTTAAGCGGGAGGAATATTCTAGATGGAGTACTTGTTGCTAATGAGGTTGTCGAGGGTTGGAAGAAGGCCAAGAAGAAGGGTGTGCTCATTAAGTTGGATTTTGAGAAAGCATATGACTCTATTAATTGGGGTTTTCTGTTTGATATGTTCTCTAAGTTTGGGTTTGGAGCTAAATAGATTAATTGGATGAAGGAGTGTGTTACAACTTCAAGGGTCTTAGTACTCGTCAATGGTTCTCCTTCCGAAGAGTTTAGCCCTCAAAGGGGTCTAAGGCAAGGTGACCCCCTGTCCCCTTTTCTGTTCAATCTAGTAGTTGAAGGCTTACACATGTTGCTGAGCAGAGCTTGTGAGTTAAACCTAATCAAAGGGGTAAAAGTAGGTTGTGAGGGTGTGGTGTTAACTCTTTTACATTTTGCGGATGATTCACTCTTATTCAGTGAAGCAGAGGTGGAGGTGGTGAGGAAATTGAAAATGGTGCTAAGGTGTTTCGAAATCATGTCTGGTTTGTAGATAAATTTTCACAAGAGCGTGGTATGTGGTATGGGTGTTTCTGCTGAGATGATGAATGATATGGCTGCAATCCTAAATTGTAAAATTAAATCTTTGCCACTTATTTGTCTAGGGATGCCATTAGGAGCTAATCCTAGGAGGTTAGCTACTTGGAAACCAGTAGTGGATAAAGTGAAAAGTAAACTAGCTGGTTGGAAGAGGAAGATGCTATCTTTTGCGGGGAGGTTAATACTGGTTAAATCAGTAACTTTAGCTTTGCCTGTGTTTTATTTATTATTTGTTTAAAATACCTGAAGGGGTTGCTAAAGAGTTGGAGAAGCTTCAAGCTAATTTCTTATGGGGTGGTTCTGATTCGAAAAGGAAAATTCGTATGATAAAATGGGAGGAAATGCCAAAAAGAATAGACCAAGGTGGTTGGGGCATTAGAAACTTGAGGGATGTAAATAAATGCTTACAAATCAAGTGGTGGTGGAGGTTTGGTAGTGAAAAGGATGCTTTGTGGAAAAAGGTCATCTGTAGTAGATATAAGTTGAAGGTGACTAGTTGGATTCCATCTTTAAATTCATCCAATGGGTACTCAGCAGTGTGGAATGGAATTATCTCGGTTGCTGAGCAGAGCAGTAGCTTGAAGGATTTTTATTTGCATAACTTCAAATTGAAAGTAGGGGATGGGGTAAGGATTAGATTCTGGTCAGATGCTTGGTGTCAATCTGTGTGTTTGAAAGATGAATTGCCAACTTTGTATAGGTTGTCTTTGAAAAAAAAAGAGTGCTTGAGAGTCTTGGTTGATAAAAAAAACCATAGCAAGGGCTTGGTCTCTTGATTTTAGACACCCCATTTTTGACCGTCCTCAAGACTTGGGCATCACCATTTGAACACTCGGTGATCATCCAGGGTTGTGTTCGTCTTGAGTTCTCGGAGGTTTTGGTCGCGCGTCTTGCCTCAAGACCCCTCGACTTGCTTGTTTTGTGCTTGGTTGTGCACCAAACACTTGTGTTTTTGCTTCTGAGGGCAGGGAATGGCTTGTTGGCCATCCCCACACCTCATCGCCCTTGGCTTGAGGCCACCGGCCTTGTTTTCTTGCTACTGGCCAAACTTTTGGTCGGTCGGCAATGTTTTCGGTCAACCGGCCACTTTTGTTGGTCAATCGGCCATATTTCCCAGCTGACCACTTTTCATCTACTTTTGGCAGATATTTTATGCCAGCTGTCACAGCTGGCATCCACGATGTACCCCCTCCATACACGCGTATGGAGGGATTTGCTCCCTTATGTTAGCTTCTCCAAGAAGCTTAAGAATGGAATTCCTATAAAAGGAGGACCTCCCTTCCCTCACCAGAGGTTGAACAACTCTGAGATATATGATATATATCACACTCTCTCTATATCTCTCCCTCTCTCTCTACATTTGTGTGTGTAATAGTGTTCAAAAGGGGTTTTTGTTCTTAGATTTGCACTAAGACACCTAGTGTTACACTATACTTTGGTCGCTGAGGTTTTAAGAGGTTGATCTCAGAGTTTTGAGTTGATTTTTGATCAAAAGGAGGTGCTGAAGTTGGTGTTCTTGGAGTGTTCTTCAAGGATGAGAACTTACCCTTTTATTTCCCATTTTTGCTTAAGGTTTTAGGCCTATTTGCATATTGTTTCGAGCTTAGTGTATAACTGATAAAAGTTCTGTATTTTCATGCTTAAGATGTTTCATTAAGGTCACTTTTGTGTTGGGGGTCGTCCACCCCCTCTTAGGCCCTGTTTGGTCTCTTTTTGTGCCTTCCTCTTTGGGCTTTGTAACCCTTTTGTTTTGGCCTTCTCACCACTGAAATCCAGAGGATTTTCAGTGGTGGAGAAGTGGTTTTGAGGTCTTGTATAGGGGAGGGACACCCCTCTCTCCTTGTGACTCATTTGCTTGCATTTAGGGTTCATAAAGGTAGCATGTTTGGCTCCATTTCAGAGGGTATTTAGTGTTAATCTATCATGTTAGACCTCTATTTCATGTTGGTTCGATGGCATGTTGTTTGCATCATGCACTTGCTTTGTAATCCCCTCTATTGTCATAACGTGTATCATGCATTTAGACCATCATACTTGCATGTTTTAGCTTGACTTCATGAAGCTTTTAGTCATGTTGTGACATGATTAAGCTCTGTTTGGTGTTGATTCAGTCATGCTTGCATTATTTTATATAGCCACCATGCAATGTGGCTTGTTGGCTTTAAGCGTCCTAACCACTAGCATGTAATACTTTGACCATTCTCATGATTTGGCATCATTTGAAATCATATTTCAGTCCATGTTTCATGCTCGGATACGTGCTTTCATCACTCCTTCAATGCTTTAGTGAGTTGTTGTCTTGTGCCTTAAAATTGGGTCATTGCGTATGTCTCCATGATTAGGTCCTTGGGACACCATCACATGGGGTTTTGGGGCTTATTTTGACGCATTATAACTCTGTTTTTGGTTGCATAATTCATGCCATTTTTGGTTGTGATAGATATAGTGTAATGCTCTCTTTATAGCCTTACATACCTCTTGTTTGTGCCCATCTTTTAGGTGCGCTTTGGCGTCATTCCATACATGTTCCAGTCTTGTCTTGGTCTGTCCTGGGACTGTCTTAGTTTACTTTGGCCCTTTGGGGCTTGGTTGATATGGCTATGGTGTTAGCCCCTTGATTAGCTTTGAGCACTGGGTCCATTAGCATGCTGTATTTCACTTGTGTATGTGATTTGGCATCATTCTTTACTTGATTTCAGAGCTCATTGCATTGTCATGTTCTCACGTTTATCCCATTTTACTCATGGTTGAGGATTGTGCATCATTGCCTTGCTTACAAATTCATGAATGTGCATGCATATCTCCTTTTTTTTGGTACCTTGATTTGGCACTTTGGCCACTGTTTTGGACACGGCTGAGGCCTATCCATCCTTAGTGTAAGTCCATGGATCATGCATTTATGCATTATTGTAGGCCTACCGCATTGCATGATGTCGCATCCTTGTGGTTGATATCGTTGTTACATGCCTATGACTTTGTGTATTCCCATATCTAGATTGCATTGTAGTATTGCATACTTGTTACATTGCCATGATGTTTACATGTTAGGTTGCATTGCATTACACTTGGCATGCTCATGTCATATTGCATTGCATTGGTTGCATGCTTTGCATTGTATACGGCATACATACATTGCATTACGGTTGGTTTGGGGTGTCAAACCAAACATGAAGAATGAGGGACGTTCGTACTTGAAGTGACGAAACGTACCTCAATCCTCAGTCGCTGACACTCTTGATTCAACATGATAGAGTGTGTAACATTCATTTATTTTGTTGCATTCATTCATATCGATTTGCACACTTGACATCTTTGGCCATCATGCATCGAAATGTGTGATTGGTGGCCCGAGGGTCGCGAGCCATACTCCCATGAGTTCATAGCATGATGGGAGGGTGGTCGTGCATACATTTGGCTTACAAATTCCATGCCATGCACTGTCTGTCCTCTGTTGCAGCAAAACCAGTGTTTTGCAGGAAGAAATGGCCGGTCGGCAACTTTCAGTGCTGGCCGACTACCAATATCCAGCCGGTGATCCCATTTTTGGTCGATGACCATTTTCACATGGTCGGTGGTGTTTTATCTTGGCCGGTGGCATCCCAAAGTGCTTAGGGAGTGGTTCAGAAGCAACCTTAGGATTTTCAAAATTCTCAGAGGTGTAAAACAGTGCAAATAGAGGCAACAGAGGCATGGCAACGGGTTTCCGAGCATGGCGAATCGAGCATGCATCATCCAATTATTTCGAGGCGGAGTTGCGGCGGCCTTTTGAGTTTCATACTTAGTTTATTTTGTAATTAATTTGTTAATTAATTAAGGGTCTGTAATAATTAATTAGCTAGAGTAGTTAATTATTTATTTTTTTCGTATTATTCTTTCGGACCCTCCGTCGAGAGGGCGAATTTGTAATAAGTGTGCGTGCGTGTGTGAATGTCTTCCAACCCCACGTCTTTTTCCCTTTTACTTACCTGCTTTTGATGGTTAGTTTTAGGTCATGTTCCGATTAGCATACCTTATGTTAGCATGTTTGCATACTGTAGACACCCCATTTTTTACCGTCCTCAAGACTTGGTTATGCTTGTAGGTGCACCCAACAACTAAGCCGATTGCTCGCTGAGTACTCGACTGTCGCGGCGAAACGTCACCGGTTCGAGCTTCCCGGACCTTGTATCATTTCTGCCCTTTTTTTGGACCTTGGCTAGGTCCTTTCATAGTGGACCTTTTGGTGATCTGCCGACCATGTCATGGCACGGCCGCCCTTGTCTTTGTGCCTGCCGGCCATTGGTGGTGCCCTGCCGGCCATCAGTGAGCCACTGCTGGCCATTGATGATGGCCGGCACCCCCCTTGTCTCAGCTAGTTTTCCTCTAGATCTTTTGAGCCAGCTGGTTTTTTGTTTGTTCCCCTCCATACACGTGTATGGAGGGATGAAGCCCTTGTAAAGCTTCTTGAAGAAGCTTTGGATTGGCATTCCTCTATATAAGCAAGAGACCACCCTCTTTGCTAGAGGTCCTGCAGTTTTGAAGAGAAAACCTCTCTTTCTCTCTATATTGTTTGTGTTTTGTGCTTTGGAGTTGGATTTCCTTGCACTTTTACACTACAACACCTAGATATACAACACCACCATTGGACAAAGCTTCTTGGGAGGTCTTCTTGAGGTCTGAAAGTGAGTTTCTACCCCCTAAAATTGCTGGTTTCGAAGAGGGTCTTCAAGGGTAAGTATTTTCCCTATTTTTGCACTTTCTTGGACCTTGCTTTAGCCCTTTTTTCATATTGATTTAGGCTTTGCTTATAACTGAAAAAAGTCTTGTAGTTAAGCCCTTTTTAAGTTTGTTTAAGGTCATTTTGCTGTTAGGGGTGTGTAGCCCTCTTGCATGCTTTGTTTGGCTTTGTTTTAAGCCATGCCTTAAGGCCCCCTCCCGAAAAAACTAGGCCCACCAGCTGTTCGGGCATGGTGTCTATGGAAAGCTTGGCTTTGTCCATGGCTGAGAGGACAGCCTGTCTATGTACTCGAGAAGCCATAAGCAGCCCCTAAATGGAGATGTCTGCTTGTATCTTTTTCAATTGTCTCAATACGGCCTCGTCCTCGAGTTGTTTTTCCTTTTGCTTTTCTGCCTCCCTATCTTTTCCAGACGCCTCTGGTTGATCTAGGTGTGGAGGCTTGAAATACCGTCCACTCCTAGTCATGTGACCGATTTCGCCGATATACCAGGTATCATCTGGTTGGTTACTCCCCAAATCTTCGTCAGTGTGGGCAAGACACAGATCATCATCCTCCCACCACATTCCATCTGCGGCCGACAGGCACCTATCCGGTCCTGGCGTGATTATTCTCATACTCGAAGTACCTTCTATTCCTATGCTCGCGACATTCTCCCTTTCTGCACTCGCAGCAGCCTCAATCCCCATATGGGCTTTTGCCTTCCTGATTCTCTCGGAATCTTCGAATCTTTCCTGTTCCGACTGTGTCCAGGCAGCCGACTGCTCAATAATCCCCGTACTCGAAATGCTCCAATCCCGAGCGAAATTCTTGACACCGGCGCTCTCCGGCGATGTACTCTGTTCTTCAACCCTTCCGGCTGCCACTGATATTCTTGCCCCTACCGGGCCTTGTTGTGACTGAGACTCTTCTACCACATCTGGTTGATCGTCCAACCATCCCCAGTTTGGATGAAGTTGACTCTTTTGGGTGGTGGAGTTTGGTTATGTGTGGGGAGAGGGTTTGCAGTAACGTTGGGTTTGTCGGGAGGCAAAATCACCCCGTTGTCGATGAGATCTTGA